AGAATCTTTTGATTTGAGTTTAAATATCACTTCCATAAAAATATTTCCTGCGCACTGAACTCTTATGCCAGCTTAAACCATATCTTTATTACACATGGCACTATGTATTTTTGTGTTAATTTTTAGAAAAAAAAAGGTTGATTTCTTGCATCATGATGTCAGATATAGTATATGGGTTCTGGAAGTTGTCTTGTTGGATTTACATCTTATTTCAGTCACCTACTTGCTTTTGGTTTTGGGTAAATTACTTAAACTCATAGAACTTTTAATTTTTTCATCTATAAAATGGAATTCAGAGTAATACCTATCATAAAGTTAACTCAGTTAATGTGTTTACTATAGGATCCAGTGTACAGCACTTGCACTTATTGTCATCATTATTATTTAACAATACTGTGCCTGGTATATTTCAAATGTTCAATGTACATTTGTTGAAAAAGAGAAACAACAACAAAAAACAGGTTCTAATTGCAGTCTGATGATTATCTCTGTTCTAAAGATGAGTTCTAACGCTTGTCAAAAATGTCATTTACTGTTATTCTCATTCTGATTTCAGTCTATTGAAAGTGTATTCTTTCCCTAATCAAATTTAATATTACATTGTTAAAAGCCATTTACTGGTCAAAGGGACAGGAGAAGGAAGGGATAAGCATTTGGTTGCTATTTTGGCAAAGAGTCCTAAAATTCCCTTGAGGAAAGACATGAATCACTCACTTGAATAAAACTTGTTTGTATAGTACAAGAATTGAAAGATTTGGAGGGAGAAATTGTGAGGATTTCTGACTAGAGCTAATCATACCCTGGGGCTAGATATGGGCGTTAGTGAAATGATGGGAGCAAGAAGGCTTAGTTCCAAGGATCCAAATATTTTACTCTATACTGAGACTCAGTGCTTTTGAAAGAAGGCTGAGAATTGGTTTTAGGAGTTTTCTCACTCAAGGCACTTTTAATCAATGGATGAATTTTTGGTTATTTCTAGCTTTAAAAAAGACTGTCACATTCTCAAAGTCTGAAAATCAGAATCAGTAGAAGATATACTGGAACTAATAGGAGATGTTTATCTATCTATTTATTATCTATCTATCTACCTATCATCTATCTATCTGTCTATGTGTCTACCTGTCTATCTCAATCAATCAATCATCTATCATCTTATACTGGTTCTATATCTCTGGAGAAAGCTGATGAACACAGTGCCCTGAATGAATAAAGTATACTTACTATAATAATGAATTTGTTTAAGGAATGCATATACTTACTCATTGTAAGAAATTGGTCTATGTGATTATGAAGGCTAACAAGTTCCACGATCTACATTTGGACACAGGACAGCCAGTGGTATAAGACTAAGGCTTAAATAAGGAGAGTCAATAGTGTAGTTTTTCTGTAAGTGCTGGTGGGAAGAGCAGATATTATAATTCACATTGAACACAGAGAAAGAAAACTGATGTCTCAGGTTGAGGACAATCACACAAAAAGAGAATTTTATTTTATTCAGGCTTTTGGTTACATTCAACGCTTCAAGTGATTGGATGAAATCTTTTCACATGGTCAAGAAGACTCACCTCCCTGGTCCATCTTTTCTGGACCTTCATTCATCCAGTGATATAAACCAGAAACCGTTTTATTAATGATTCTTCTGTCTCTAATAGTCTTCATATAAAAAGATCTTTTGTTATAACTAGTAAATATTTAGTGAGCTCTCCTTAACTCCCTGTTAGTGTAAGTTGCCTCTATGAAGAGTCTTAGATGGGCATTTTAATGAAAGTGAATTATAAGGGATTGGGGGAAGATGACTATGGAAGAGAAAGAAAGGATGTAGCCTCAACTGCTGTTGGCTTCATTATTGAGAGTACATTATGCTATAGAATTAGTTCAACTTGGTGGCAAGGGAACCAGCTCTTTTCACTCTCATCTCTGTCACTTATTGGCCAGAGGGGCCCCTGAAATATGGGTACTATCCCTCCTATTTTCTCTGATGTATTGTCCAGAGAAGGGTGGGGCTATGAGCTGTTAGCAGACCAGACTTGTAGCACTTGGGGCATGGCTCTGGCCTGGTGGAGGGGATTTGAGCTGGATTAAACAGTGTTCCCCACACCCTGCTTCCTTACTGGCAACAGGATGGTTCAGGCCTTCAATTTTTCACACAAAAATCATTACAATAAGCTTAAACTGTTCTCTTCCCTTCAGTTCATTTCCAATGCTGTAGCTAGAGTTATCACTCTAAAAGTCAAATGAAACTGCATAATTCTCTACCTTAAAATACTTTCAATCTGTCTTCATGCTAGCATTAAGCCCTAACTCTATTTTGAGAGCCTTCTTGAACTTCCCTGTTCTCTCTTCCAGCTTCTTGCTTGCTATTTCCTTTTACACTCTGTATCCATTATGGTGCCTATCACTCAGTGGGGATTAAACAAATAATTGTTGAATGAATACATGCATTAATAATCATAGCCATATCAAATTGGATACGTTTCCTGAAAATTCTCACTTCCTGGCCTTTGTTATATAGTTCTTCTCTAGGATCATTCTCACCTCACCCTCATGCCTCTGCATTCTGATGATTCTTTTCTTTTATACTTTAGGTCCATTGTTATTTTTTTCAACTAGGAATCCTTTCCTGACTCTTCAGCTTTTGTGTGTCCCTGCAACATGCTTTCATAGCACTATGTGTTTCCAGTTTTACTATTTATAACACTGTGCTCCAATTTTCTGTCCAATTCTTTTTTTTTATCTCTCATTTGTTATTTTATTACATGAAAAATGATAGATTGCAGTATACAGTGAGTAACCCTTAAGCAAGAACTGGGTTTATTTAAATTTCTTTTTATTTTTTTTTTATTTTTTATTTTTTTATTTTATTTTTTTTTTAAGAGGTTATCTGTTTGTCTTTTTTTTTTATTTTTTTTCTTTTATTATTCATATGTGCATACAAGGCTTGGTTCATTTCTCCCCCCTGCCCCCACCCCCTCCCTTACCACCCACTCCACCCCCTCCCGCTCCCCCCCCTCAATACCCAGCAGAAACTATTTTCCCCTTATCTCTAATTTTGTTGTAGAGACAGTATAAGCATTAATAGGAAGGAACAAGGGGTTTTGCTGGTTGAGATAAGGATAGCTATACAGGGCATTGACTCACATTGATTTCCTGTGCGTGGGTGTTACCTTCTAGGTTAATTCTTTTTGATCTAACCTTTTCTCTAGTACCTGTTCCCCTTTTCCTATTGGCCTCAGTTGCTTTTAAGGTATCTGCTTTAGTTTCTCTGCATTAAGGGCAACAAATGCTAGCTAGTTTTTTAGGTGTCTTACCTATCCTCACCCCTCCCTTGTGTGCTCTCGCGTTTATCATGTGCTCATAGTCCAATCCACTTGTTGTGTTTGCCCTTGATCTAATGTCCACATATGAGGGAGAACATACGATTTTTGGTCTTTTGGGCCAGGCTAACCTCACTCAGAATGATGTTCTCCAGTTCCATCCATTTACCAGCGAATGATAACATTTCGTTCTTCTTCATGGCTGCATAGAATTCCATTGTGTATAGATACCACATTTTCTTAATCCATTCATCTGTGCTGGGGCATCTTGGCTGTTTCCATAACTTGGCTATTGTGAATAGTGCCGCAATAAACATGGATGTGCAGGTGCCTCTGGAGTAACAGTCTTTTGGGTATATCCCCAAGAGTGGTATTACTGGATCAAATGGTAGATTGATGTCCAGCTTTTTAAGTAGCCTCCAAATTTTTTTCCAGAGTGGTTGTACTAGTTTACATTCCCACCAACAGTGTAAGAGGGTTCCTTTTTCCCCGCATCCTCGCCAACACCTGTTGTTGGCGGTGTTGCTAATTCTGAGAATGTCTCAATGGACCCCAAGCTATGTCAAGGCAGGAACTGGAATTCTCCTTATTCTCTATAGTCTACGAAATTTCAATGTGCCTCCTACATTTCTTGAGCTTAAAATTTTTGTTGATTAATGAACAATAAGCATAAGGTGTAGAGCTATATATATATACCTATTTATTTTTAATTGATGCATAGTAATTATACATATTTATGGAGTATAGTGTGACACTTTGATACATGTATAAATGGATATCTGTGACACATCGGCACATCTATCATCTTAGATACATGTCACTTTTTTTGTGATGGAAACATTCAAAATTATTTCTGCTTGCTATTTTGAAATATTCAATTGATTCCTGTGATCTGTAGTTACCATATCATATTCTAGAACATTAGAAATTATTCTCTCTGTCCAAATTAATCCCTGTACCCATTAACCATTTTCTTTCCATTTTTCACATGTCATTCCCACGTAGAACTGTAATTTCTAAAAAACAGTCTCTAATAATGAAATGCTATCTAAAACTAAACTGGTTAACAGAGAAATATAACATAAATAGATTACATTCTTAAGAAAATGAAATCTTGCCAAGAGGAGAGAGAACATCAAGGTAAATTTTTGCTCCTATGTTGAGAATCTATATCTAGTTGACCTTTCTATCATCATTGCATGGCAGAGCCTGCAGGAAAAAATGGTGTAAGAAATCAGTCATATCATGGCCAATGGCTAGTAAATATCACACATTAAGGTTTTAATACCTTCCTTTTCTGTCAGTTTCTTCACACTAATAAAATGGAAAAAGATAGGAAAACCTACTACTTTAGATTGTCACAGAAATTACAATTGTTATATAACAATATATTGTCATATATACTAGCATGTATTATTTATTTACTTTTTATTAGATGATAATTCCAATCCATATGCAAGGAACAAGCTATTAAAACTGTGCCAATTTAACAGAATTTCTCAAATATTCAGAGTGGCCATAGTTAGATTTTCTCTTTTCTTGCACCTGTTTGTACCTCCTTCAGTGGAGAATCTGTAAGTCAATTGCATGGCTAATTTTTTGTTTATCCAACATGTTTGACTGGCTGAAATATAGTGTCCTTTTGATTTTTGCCTCAGTTGAATCCATGATGAGTTGCAAGAACATTTATTTGTCACTTGAAAGAACTTTCCTACTACACATTTTCCTAATGGCATTTTTCATCTGAGCATTTCTCAAGGTATAGATTAAGGGATTTAACATGGGAGTTTTCATAGTGTAGAATACAGCAACTGCTTTATCAATGGAAAAAGTAGCTACAGGTCTCATATACACAAAGAATAAAACAACCACTGTGATGTGGGAGGCACAGGTGGAGAGAGCCTTGCGCTTTGCCTCTAAGCTGTGTGTCCTTAAGGGGCGCAGGATGGCCACATAGGAGACCAGCAGAAGGAGGAAGTTTAACAGACAGATGAACCCACTGTTGGCAGCAACAAAGAGTCTCAGAGTATGGGTATCAGTGCAAATGAGATTGAGCAAAGGATTTAGGTCACACATAAAGTGATCTATGACATTAGGGCCACAGAATGGTAATCGGAAGATAAACAGGATCTGTATAGTTGCATGAAGAAAACCTCCCATCCACACCACTCCCATCAGATAGCCACACATATGCAGATTCATGATGGTTGTATAGTGCAAGGGCTTGCAGATGGCCACATAGCGATCATAGGCCATCACAGTAAGCAAAATGATCTCAGCACCTCCAAACAAATGTTCCCCAAAGATTTGGGTCATACATCCATTAAATAGGATGATCTTCTTTTCACGAAGTGAATCTACCATCAGTTTTGGGGTGCTGACAGAGGAATAGCAGGCATCAACAAAGGACAGGTAGGCCAGGAAAAAGTACATAGGGGACCCCAACAATGGGCTTCCAGTGATAGTGACCACAATGAGTGCATTTCCTACCACAGAAATGATGTAGATGACAAAAAACACAGCAAATATTATTTTCTGCATCTTTGGATTCTCTGAAAGTCCCAGGATACATTGTTCCTGTTCTCCATTATTTAATGTGATGGCTAATTACATTATCTGAAAAATTATTAATGCAGTCATGCATTTGTTAAATTAAATTTATTAAATTTCCCCATTCTAATAAACCATAAATGTCTACATTCTATCAAGCTGTGAATTACTATGAGTTTGTTTTAAGATTGAAAAAATGTTCTGAATTCTTGAAGATTATCTAGATTGCTTCTGGGTGAAGATTGTTTTGAGTATATACATGAGGTCCTTTTATGGACATAAATGTTAGGAATGATCTTTATATACTTATCCACTTGATACTACACTTGATCTTAGCCAAAAGGCTGAGAAGCGAGATATATATACGTATCCATTTGAGATGACTGAGAATGTAACTTGAAACAGAGTCATATAGTAGTGGAAGCTAAGCCTTAAAGGGGAGGTAAATGATGAATGTAAAATTCATGAATACAAAACTAAAGAATTTTCTCTGCATCTTTAGGTAATGGAGAACCTTGGAATGTACTGATTATATGAATAGAAAGATGGAGGGATTGAGGAAGGGAAATCCTTGGATATTACTCTAGAAAAATTGCTTGCATGCGTTGGGTGAGGCTCAGTAAGGAAATGGAAAGCAGAGAAAGGACCTCCAGTTAAAAGATTATTTAGTGTAGTTGACATACAAAGTAAGAGGGCACAGTTGATGGAAATATAATGTATTTAATGTAGCAGTAGAAGAATTAATAATGCTTCTTGTTAAACCTAATTACTTTATAACAGCTAACAACATATACTTTTAAACTGTTAATTGTTATGTGTTCGGCATGGCATAAAGTTTTCTGTACACTTAATCATTAAATGATTCCATTTAATACTTACAACAAACTGCATAGTTAATATGGTTTTATCTATTTTGCAAGTGGGGCAACAACCTCACAGATTCAAAGTCATTACATGGAGTAAGATGATAATGATATGCAAAACCATTGCATACTTGGTGTGTTCTGTGTTTACAGACATTTCCTGGTTTCCTTTTCACTGCAATTTTAAAACATGTTACTTTTATTTTTATATTTATTTTACAGATTAGAAAAGAGAAGCACAGAAGTTAGAGATTCTGACCATGATCCAGCAGCCAATTAAAGAGCAGAGCTGATTAGATCTTATTCCTATGTATTTATCCTTTGTACTTCAACTTCTCAACACAGACCCTGTAATGTTCTAATAAATAATATTAAACTTGTAATCTCTTTTAATATGACATTTACAATTATTTTAATAGTACTTAAGAGGAAAATTTGTGTGAGACATTTTCATTAGCATACATGCATGCACATAATGATATCTTTGCATTATAATGTGCTATCTCATTAAGTAATGAGCTTTCTGTCTTGGCCTCTCTCACAGCCCCAACTTCCTTCTTCTCTAATACTATTACAGAATTTAGCCCTTTGACTCTTCTTCAAAATGTCAAAAAAGACTTAATAGTTGTTATAGTATATAGATTTTACAACTCCAAATCTAGATTAGAACACTAGTTCTTTCAAATGCAATTTAAACAAAATCCTGGGTGCATTTATTCACACCTTACCTAATTATTTCTCACTTTATATTATTTCTATAATGTGAAAATAATAATATACACCACAGGATTTTATGAGAATTGATAGAAGGAGAATATATGAAAAGATCCATCACAGTACTCTGGATACATATCGATTGTGGCCTTAGTTTTAAGTGTATACAGCTAAGAGACAGGCAGAACTGACAATAGAGCAGTAAAGCAGAGACGTGTTTAACTGTCCAGTAAGCTTAGGAAGAATCATTGTCAGTATTACTCTCAAAGAAGCCATAGACTCACATAATTCACTGCAGTTGTTTTTAGGAAGCATTCTCTATGTTTGTGATTTGAGGAGAGAGCTGAATATTTTTGATATTTATGGTTCATATTTAGTTATTTTATGTATGTGAAATATTTGAAAACTTTTTTCATGATTTGTCTTGATTATTAAGGAGATGTTCCATGGAAAATGTATGGTAATTGCTTTCAGAGAGTTGGATACTACAAATTGCTTAAATTATTGCAACTGTCAAAAAAAACCCTTGTAACTGTCAAATCATGTGAGTAATATTTTTAATTTTATTTTGTAGAATTAGGGTAAGGCTAAAAGACTGAAATACTATATTTGAAAAGTTTTAAAATAATTTTACTATATATGAAAAGTAATAATCTTTTATAAACATTAATACTACTGAAAAACTTACCTTAGTTGTCTTCAATGATTCTAATGACATTAAGAGTGTTCAGACACAATCTCTTCTTTAAGGTCACTCCTAAGAGTAAATAATTTTCAATATGAAATATATTTCACACCTAAAAATAGTGTTTAAAATTTGAAATTAAATCAAAGTTAAGAAAATGTCATTTTAAATATAGAATTTCTTTTCTAGCCTAAAGCTTCAAAAACAGTTTTACAGAAAATCTAGGGTTTTAATTTTTAATGGATTTACTTGAAATGTTGTAGAGAAATGATATTCTGTGCAAATCTGAGGTTTCCACAGGGCAAAATAAAGGAAATGTGGAAGAAATACATTTTGGTGAGTCTCTCCACTCATGATGAGTGTTCTGGAGATATTAACAACAAACTCTTTTAATCTTGTACTGCACAGACATTTTAAAAGGTTTTTATAAAGATTCAGGGACCTTGTCTTGTAACTGTGCTTTTTCTCCCAGGAATTAATCATCTTTTTTGATGGAAAGGTTTTTGTCTTAGCAGATATTCTGGAGAGACAAGTTAGTAAAAAAAAAAAAAAAAAAAAAAAAACCATTCTTGGGTAGGGAATAAAATTCCCTACCCAAGGAAAGTAAACTGTATGACCTTTGGGTTGTTAAGAAATCTGAATGCCATGTTAATATCAAGGTGGCATAATTCCAGCATGGAAGCCTCTGTTCCAATTTCTTTTTTGACTCATGCAACAGATGAAGCTTCAGTTTTCTTATCAATATTAAACTTTTTCTGGAAATCCACTCTTGATTGTTTGAGAGCCAGAGCAGTGAGGATACAATTAATGGTAGCTATTTTAAAGTACTTTGTTCCAAAAATGTACTCTTTTACTACCATCCCTGCTTTATGAGATATATTTGATAAATAAAATGGCTTATATTTAAGATGTACTACATGATGATTTTTGCATATATGTACACTATAAAGCAAGCTTGTTAACATCTTTATCACCTTGCATAGTTAGCATTATTGCTCTTAACATTATATTTTGGTAATGGGAAACCTAGATCTACCCTCATAGCAATTTCAAGTGTACAATTTAGAACTGTCAGATATAGTCATTTTGCTGTACATTAGATATACAGAATGAATTCATCTTAAATCAGTCAAACTTTGCACCTCCTGACCAACATCTCCCACTTTCTTCCTCCTCTAAGCCTTTGGCAACCCTCATTCTACTTTCCACTTCTATGATTTTGAATTTAGATTTCACACATATGTGAGATCATACACTATTTGTCTTTATATCTGACTTCTTTTGCTTAATATAACGTCCATTCACGTTATCTCAAATGGAGAATTAAATTCTTTTTAAAGTTTGTATTCCATTATACATGTGAAATTTCTCCACCACAACACACCCATTTCCTATGTTCATTAGTCCATTGATGGATAATTACATTGATTCTACACCTTGATTATTATGAATTGTGTGGTAACGAACATGGGATTGGAAGTATCTCTTTTAACTGATTTGGTTTCTTTTGAACACACACCCAAACTTAGGTTGCTGGATTATAAAGTAGTTATGGATTAAAAAGGTAAAACAAACATTTTGGGGGAAGTTATATAACTTTCTTAATGAACTTCCATATGGTTTTCCATCATGGCCATACAAATTTACATTCCCACCAACAGAGTATAAAGTTTCCCTTTTCTCCAGAACATCCTCACCAACACAGTCTTTTTCTTGTTGTTGATAAAGCCATCCTAACAGCTATGAGGTGATATTTCATTGTGGTTTTATATGAATTTATATGATGATTGCTTATTTTGAACACTTTTGTATCTAACGGTTAGACATTTTTATACCTTCCTTTGAGAAATATTTATTGTCATCCTTTGCCCATTTTATTTTGTGGTTGTACAAGTTTATTAAGAATTAAATGAAGCATAAATTCAATTTTTATTTAGAAAGAATAAGCATTTATGAATTTAAAGAGGTCACATTTGATAATTGTCAAGAGTTTAACTAAAACTGAATATTTAATAACAAATGTGATTTGTATCATATAATCTTTATACCTTTTTTTTACTTTTTATTTTGCAATAATTTCAGATTTACAGAAAAATACAAAATAATACAAACTACCAAGACCTTGGTTTCTAAATATCATTTTCTAAAAAAGGAACAAAGGATATTTGAAGGAGAGCTGATTATACAGCTGGAGTAACAAAAGTACAAAACAAAGCAGAGTCATCTTATAGTAACAGAAAGTAAGGAAACACTTAAAAAGCAAAAGTATGGGGCTAAGTCAAAGGGCCTTATTCCCAATGGCCAATTCTGGAAATAATTTAAGTAACAAAACAAACAGTGCATATTATATTGTAACACCCAAATAAAATAAATATGCACAAGTTCCTACTGTCATAAATACATGATAACTAATAAGAGTCTTCCATACAGGATATGCTATATATGTAGAAACTACTCCCTTCAAGAGGTGAAATTTAACTCTGCTATACCCTCACTCCTGTCTTTGAGGATGGGCTGGATTTAGTGACTCCCTTCTAAAGACAGAGTGGGAAAAACTTAAACAATATAATATAGAAATCTGGAGATACTACCTTAACGAGAATATCAAGCGTTGTATCAGTAAGAATATCATATTGACAGCATGTATTCTCTGGTACTATTTTTGGAAATGTACTTCTCCTGTATAGCATGCTTTCCAAAAACCCATAACCCTAGTCTAATCACGAGAAATACATAAGGCAAATGAAAATTGGGAGGCACCTGTACAACATCTAACCAGTACTGTCAAAACTGTCAAAATCTAAAAAACAAGGAAAGACTTAGAAAGTATCACAGATCAGAGATGCTGGACAGATATAAAGACTAAATAAATGCAAGATGTGCAATGTGGTACCCTGGATTAGATCTTGGAGCTAATAATAAATGGCATTAATGGACAAACTTGAAAAATTTGGATAAAGTCAATGGACTTCAATGGTTATTTGTTTTTTTGTTTTTTTGGTATTGAGTTCCATGACTTCTTATTATGTTTTGGGTATTAACTCAGTATATAGTACATGGTTTGCAAATATTTTCTCCCATTCCATAGATTGCCTCTTCACTTAATTCCTTGGCATTGCAGAAGACTTTAGTTTATCTGTTTTTGCTTGTGCTTTGCGTAGCATATCTAAAATAATCATTTCCCAGACATGCAGGTAGCATTTTCCTCCAGAAGTTTTACAGTGGGTGGGACTTGCATTTGATTCTTTAATTCATCTTAAGTTGATTTTTGTATTTAGGTGTGGGTTTATTTCTGGGGGGGTCTCTATTCTACTATACTGGTGTAGTAGAATAACTGTTTATGTGCCAATACTATACTATTTAGATGTATAATACTACACAATTAGATACAGCCTTGCAATAGCTTTTGAAAAAATGTGCAATGCTTGCAGGCTTGATCTTCCTCAAGACTGCTTTGGCTGTTCAGAGTCTTTGTGGTTCCATACAAATTTTATGATTGTTTTTCCATGATTGTAATGAATGCCATTGGGATTTCAAGTGAGACTGCATTGAATTTGTAGTATGCAAATTTCAACAGTATAATTCTTGCAATCTATGAACATGTGGTATATTTCTTTTTATTTGTGTATTCTTTAAGTTCCCTCACCAGTTCCTTCATTGTCTGTGTCTAAATCTTTCTCGTTTTAGTTAAATTTATTATTAACCATCTCACTTTTTTACTGTTGTAAAAAAGTTCTGGCTTGGGAAATACCAAATTTTATTACCTTTTTTCTTAAATTATACCTTTTTTACATTTACTTACATGTATATACATTTTTTGGGTCACTTCTCCCCCCAACCCGCCACCCTGGGCAGAACCTGTTCCACCCTCTTGTTCTTTGATTTTGTTGAAGAAAAAACATAAAAGATAAAAAGAAAAATAGCATTTTTGCTAGTTTGTGATGAAGATAGCTATACAGGGAGATTCCTTGTGTTGTACCTTGTGTTTCCATGCATATGTGTATTACAACCCATTCTTTTTTGAAAATTTAGTTGCTTCAATGTGTTTATTTTTTATGTTTACTTTGTATATTGCAACTGCACCAAATTGATTATAGTTCTAAGTCTTTGTTGTTGTTGTTGCATTTTTAGTGTTTTCAACAAAGATGGTTTTGTCATTTGAAAGCTGAGGTAATTTTAATTCTTCATTTCCTGTTTAGATGTCGTTTACTTCTTTTCTTGCCTAATTTCTCTGATCACGACTTCCTATATGTTTAATAGAAGTGGCAAGATTGGGCATGCTTGCATTGTGTGAGATGTAGAAGGAAACCTTTCAGTTTTCCCCTATTGATTATGATGCTGTGGGTTTTTCACATGTGGTCTTTATTATTTGAGGTAATTTCCTCCCTGTTATGTTGAGTGGTTTCTTTCCTCATGAAATGTATTTCATCAAATACTTTTTTCTTTGTTATTAGCATAAATTAATTGATACAAAGAGGTTTCATTGTATTATTTCCATATGTGTATATAATATACTTTAAAGAAATTAACATCCTTTATTTTTTTTCTGAATTCCCTTCCTCCCATCTTTAAAAAGCTTTTAGTGGGTTTCATTATGCTATTTCATACATATTTATAATATACTTTGGTTATATTCATCCCCTATAACCTTCTTCCCTCCTCCTCTGTGGTGCTGGTTCACTCCAAACAGTCCCCCTTCTTGATATTTTTAGGTCTACATTCCATAAATGAATGAAGATATTTGACATTTGTATTTCTGAACTTGGATTTTCTTGCTCAACATGATGACCTCCAACACCATCTGATTTCTTGCAAATGACATAATTTCAATACTGGGTTTTGAACTCAAGGCCTTGCACTAGCTAAGCAGGTGCTCTACCACTTGTGCCACAACTCCACCCCTCATTCTTCATTGTTGAATAATTATCCATTTATGTATGTAGCACATATTCTTTATTCATTTATTGGTCGATGAGCATCTAGACTAGTTCTTTTCTGTGTCTAGAGATGTGGTCTATCAACATTGACTGATATGCATATTTGATCTATCCTGTAACTCACTTGGTCATAGTGTTTGATATTTTCAATGTGCTGTTGAATTTAAATTGCTGTTATTTTTTGAGGATTTGTGTTCATTAGGAATACTGGCATGCAATTTTATTTTCTTGTGTTATCATGATCTGGTTTTGGCATTAGGTGATGGTGGACATACAGAATGAGTTTGGAAGTATTTTCTCTACTTTTTGGAAGATTTTGATAAGGAATGGTTTGAGTTTCTATTTGCATACTTGTTAGAATTTGCATGTGAAGATATCTACTCCTGTTTCTGTTATTGTTGTTTGAAACTTTTCAATTACATATTTGATCTTATTCATTATTGGTTCATTAATTATTTCTTTTTCTTCTTGATTGAGTTTTGTTAAGTTGACTGTCTTTTAAGAATTTATCCAAGGCTATGAATTTGTTGACATATTATGCCTCATAATATTCTTTTGTGATCCTTTGATATTTCTTAGGCATTCATCCTAATGTCTCTTTGAATATATATTGTAGTGGGAACAAAGGGGCCATGACACCGAGATCTGGAAGCAGCACTTTATTGGTGGCGCAGTGGCTCAGAGGGATAACTTCCAAAGTCTGAGCCCTGAACACAGTAGGGTTATCACTTTTATAATTAGCAGGTTTTGAGTACATCAAGGCAGGAGGTCAATGATTGCTCATTGGAGGACAGCTTTTACATTTCTAATTTGGGTTTAAGCCTATCTCTCTACCAGGGTAAGACAAAAGGTGGCAAGGTGTCCTTACTTTTGTTGCTCAGTTTCGGCTATTGGAGTTTCCTTGCTGAATCTCTAGGTGCAAGCTTCTGTTTTTGCCTTTGTGGTTAAATGTCAGTGAGCACAGCTACTGCTTGTCAGCAAGAGGTGTTAGGACTGATTTTTTCTATTTTGCTCTGCTATAATACTATTTTATTATTTGAGTCTTCCCTCTTTCTTTCCTAGTCTAAGAGTTTGTTGATCATATTTAATCAAAAAACTAAATCTTAGTTTTGTTGATCTTTCAGTTGTTTTAGTCTTTATTTTATATGTTTCCAATCTAATCCTTATTATTTACGTCCTACCTTCTGTTGGGATTAATTTTTCTTTTTACATTTATTAAGATAAACTCTCTTCTAGCACTGCTTTTTCTACCACCCACAAGTTTTGGTGTGTTGTGTTTTTGTTTTCCTTGACTTCAGATATTTCTAAAATTACCTTTTGACATCGACTCAATAGTTGTTCAAGAATGGTTGTCTTATTCCCAAATAGTTTAAAAATAAAGAGAAGAAATTCATTTCTTACAGTTCCAGAGGCCAAGAAGTCCACGATCAAGTGGTTGTATGCAGTGAGAGCCTCTTGTTCTTTTATCCCATTGCAGAAGATAAAAGATCAAAAGGTCAAACTTATGTTCCCAAGGTCCTTTATAATCAGCCACAATGTATTCTCAAGGGTGAAGCCTTTAGACCCAACCAACTCCAGTTGCACTCTTCCTGTGAACACCATTGCAATGGGGACTAAGCTTCCAATGGATTATTAAATTTTCCCATTTCTTACAGTTATTGCTTTCATGGCACATACCATAGTGGTCAGAAAAGATACTTGGAATAATCTTGACGTTCTTAAATTTGTTAAGGCATATTTTGTAATGTAACATGTAACCTACAGTAAGCAATTTGTATTTGCACTTGGGTAGAAAATCTAGCCTTCGGCTATTTGGTGAAAAGTTCTGAACATGTCTGCTGAGTGCATTTTATTTATAATATTGTTCAAATTAAATAAAAACTCAATTGATTTTTAACTGAAATTTGTATCCACTATTGAAATAGAGGCATTGAAGTCTATGAATTTTATTCTATTGTAACAGATTTATCACTTTGGATCTGTCAATATTTGCTATATGCATTTAGTTGCTCTGATGGTAGGTGTGTAAGATTTTATGCCATAATACCACCACCAAAAAAAGAAATTAATTTATTCAATTTTTAACAAAATAAAACCATATAAAAACCATTTGATTAACATATCACTCCTCCCCCATTATGATAAAAATTTTGAGCAATTTAGAGATAAGAGTAAAATCTTTAAAATGATACAAGGCATTACAAACAGGTTGCAGTGAATTAGTGCAAAAATGGGTTTACTGCTAAGATCAGAAACAAGGTAAAGATCAGTCACTTTATTTCTGCTCATGATTGTACTGGATGTCCTCTTATTATTATTATTATTATTACTCAGTTATTCACATGTGCGTACATTGTTTGGGTCATTTCTTCCCGCTGCTCCCTCCCTCAACCTCTCCCTCTTCCCCCGCTCGCTTCCAGGCAGAACTTGTTCTGCCCTTATCTCTAATTTTGTTGAAGACATAAGCATAATAAGGAAGACAAAGCATTTTTGCTAGTTGAGTTAAGGATAGCTATATAGAGAGATTCCTACTATTGCTTTCATGTACCCATGTGTTACCACCCATGTTGATTCAACTCTAACTGATCTTTACATTGGTTCCTGATCCCCTTCTCATGTTGACCTCTGTCGCTTTAAAGTTTCTGTATTAATCCTCTGAAGTGAGGACATCAAACACTTTCATATTTTGGATTTTCTACCTATTCCCATATCTCCTGTATGTGCTCTCCCCTTGTCAGGTGATCCAAGTCCACCCACGTTGCTGTATTTGCCCTAGATCTAAAATCCGCATATGAGGGAGAACATATGGTTTTTGTTCTTCTGAGCCTGGCTAACCTCGCTCAGAATGATGTTCTCCAATTCCATCCATTTACTTGCAAATGATAAGATTTCATTCTTCTTCATGGCTGAGTAAAATCCCATTGTTTATAAATACTACATTTTCTTGATCTGTTCGTCAGTGGTGGGGCATCTTGGTTGTTTCTATAACTTGGCTATTGTGAATAATGCTACAATAAGCATGGGTATGCAGATGGCTTTGGAGTAACCTGTGTTGCACTCCTTTGGGTATATCTCCAGGAGTGGTATTACGGGATCATGTTGCAGGTATATGTTTAGATTTTTAAGAAGCCTCCAAGTTTTTTCAGAGTGGTTGCTCCAGTTTGCATTCCCACCAGCAGTGGACTAGGGTTCCTTTTTCCCTACATCCTCGCCAACACATGTTGTTGGTGGCATTTTTGATGATGGCTATTCTAACAGGGGTGAGGTGGAATCTTAGAGTGTTTTTGATTCACATTTCCTTTATGGCTAGAGATAGTGAGCATTTTTTTTCTTTTATTATTCATATGTGCATACAAGGCTTGGGTCATTTCACTCCTCTGCCCCCACCCCCTCCCTTACCACCCACTCTGCCCCCTCCCTCTCCCGCCCACCCCCTCAATACCCAACAGAAACTATTTTGCCCTTATTTCTAATTTTGTTGTAGAGAGAGTATAAGCAATAACAGGAAGGAACAAGGGTTTTTGCTGATTGAGATAAGGATAGCTATACAGGGCATTGACTCACATTGATTTCCTGTGCGTGGGTGTTACCTTCTACGTTAATTCTTTTTGATCTAACCTTTTCTCTAGTTCCTGGTCCCCTTTTCTTATTGGCCTCAGTTGCTTTTAAGGTATCTGCTTTAGTTTCTCTGAGTTAAGGGCAACAAATGCTAGCTAATTTTTTAGGTGTCTTACCTATCCTCACCTCTCCCTTGTGTGCTCTCGCTTTTATCATGTGTTCAAAGTCCAGAGGCACCTGCACACACATGTTTATTGCGGCACTATTCACAATAGCCAAGTCAAAGTTTCAGGTCTGATATTAAGGTCCTTGATCCATTTTGAGTTGATAGTAGTACTGGGTAATAGACTTGGGTCTAGTTTCAGTTTCTTGCGGATGGAATAACCACTTTTCCCAGCAACATTTGTTGAAAAGACTGTCTTTTCTCCATCGTATATTTTTGGCACCTTTGTAAAAAATGAGGTGGGTGTAGTTGTGTGTATTCATATCCGGTTCCTCTATTCTGTTCCACTGGTCTTTATGTCTGTTTTTGTACCAGTACCATGCTGTTTTTATTGCTATTGCTTTGTAATATAGTTTGAAGTCAGGTATTGTGATGATTCCAGCATTGCTCTTTTTGCTGAGTATTGCCTTGGCTATTTGTAGTCTCTTGTGCTTCCAAATGAACTTTAGGGTAGATTTTTCAATCTCTGTGATGAAAGTCATTGGGATTTTGATGGGAATTGCATTTGAACATGTAGATTGCTTTTGGTAGTATAGCCATTTTTACTATGTTGTTTCTACCAATCAGTGAGCACGGGAGATCATTCCATCTTCTGTTGTCTTCCTCAATCTCTTTCTTCAGGGGTTTGTAATTCTCCTTGTAGAGGTCACTCACATCCTTTGTTAAGTTTACTCCTAGGTATTTGATTTTTTTTTGAGGCTATTGTGAATGGAATTGTTTCCATATATTCTTTCTCAATTTTTTTGTTGTTGGTGTATAGAAAAGCTAAAGATTTTTGTAATATGATTTTGTATCCTTCCATCTTGGTGTAGCTCTTTATGGTGTCTAACAGTTTTTGGGTCGAGCTTTTTTGGGTCTTTAAGATATAGGATCATATCATTTGCAAATAGGGATATTTTGACAGTTTATTTACTTATTTGTATTCTTTTTATTTCTTCATCTTGCCTAATTGCTCTGGCTAGAAATTCCAGTACTATGTTGAATAGGAGTGGGGATATTGGGCACCTGTGTCTCGTTCCTGATTTTATGGGAAATGGTTTCAGTTTTTCTCCCCTAAGTATGATGTTGGCTAAAGGTTTGTCATATATAGCCTTTACAATATTGAGGTACTTTCCTTATATTCCTAGTTTTCTTAGAGCTTTTATCATGAAGTGGTGTTGGGACTTGCTGAAGGCCTTTTCTGCATCTATTGAGATGATCAAGTGATTTTTGTCTTTGCTTCTATTGATGTGCTGTATTACTTTTATAGATTTGCATATGTTGAGCCACCCCTGTGTCCTTAAGATGAAGCCGACTTGGTAATGGTGTATGATCTTTCTGATGTGTTGTTGGATTCTGTTTGGCATTATTTTATTGAGGATTTTTGCATCAATATTCATTAAGGAAATTGGCCTATAGTTCTCCTTTTTGGAGGTGTCTTTGGTTTTGGGATGACAGTAATATTGGCTTCATAAAAATGAGTTAGACAGTGTTCCTTTCCTTTCTATTTCATGGAAGAGTTTAAGGAGGGTTGGTATTATTTCTTCTTAAAACATCTAATAGAATTCAGCAGAGAATCCATCAGGTCCTATATTTTTCTTTTTTGGAAGACTCTTTATGGCTGCTTCAATTTCCTTTTTTGTTATAGATCTATTTAGATGATTAATATCCTCTTGGTCCAGTTTTGGATGGTCGTAAGTGTCAAGAAATCTGTCCATTTCTTCATAATTTTTGTCGCCTCTGGTGATTTCCTGGATTTTCATGGTGTTTGTTGTTATCTCCCCTTTTGCACTTCTATTTTACTGATTTTGTTTTTTTCTCTCCTCATTTGAGTCAGGTTTGCCAGAGGTCTGTCAATCTTATTTATTTTTTCAAAGAACCAGCTTTTGTTTCATTGATTCTTTGTATGATATTTTTTTGTTTCTATTTATTATTTCTCTCCTTCTGCTTGTTTTGGGTTTTGCTTGTTCTTGTTTTTTTAGGAGTTTTACTACTGTTTTTTTGTTGATTGCTGGTTTTAATGCATTGTGGTCAGATAGAATGCATGGGATTTTTTTCTATTTTCTTATATTTGCCAAGGCTTGCCCTAAGATATGATCAATTTTAGAGAAGGTTCCTTGAGCTGCTGATAAGAATGTATATTGTGTAGCAGTTGGATTAAATATTCTGTAGACATCAGCTAGGTCCATTTGATCTATGGTGTCATTTAGTTCTACAATTTCTTTATGGTTTTTTTTGTTTGGATGACCTATATATTGGTGATGGGGGGTATTAAGCCTCCCACTACCACTGTGTTGGAGTCTATATATGTTTTAAGGTCCTTCAGAGTATGTTTGATGAAATTGGGTGCACTGGCATTGGGTGCATAGAGATTGATAATTGTTATTTCCTTTTAGTGTATTTCCCCTTTTATTTGCATGGAGTGTCCTTCTTTATCTCATTTGATCCATGTGTGTTTGAAGTCTACTTTGTCTGAGATAAGGATTGCTACTCCTGCCTGTTTTTGGGGGCCATTGGCTTGGTAAATCTTCCAGCATTTCACTCTTAGCCAGTGCTTATTTCTG